AGACCTGGGTTAGGTTCCCGCTAAGGGCACATACCTCAGTTGCAGTTTGTCCCTGGGCCTGGTTGGTCTTGTGGGTGGCAGCCACTCGATGTGTCCCTTTCATGTCGATGTTTCTCTGTCTCTCTCTCTCTTCCTCTCTCTCCCCCCCACTCTATCTGAGCAAAAAATAGAAAAATGTCCTCAGATGAGGATAAAAAAAAAAAAAAAAAAAGCAATGGAAAAAATATCCTCAGATTGGGGTAGAGGGCAGCAAGGGAAAAGCATTTAGTTACCTACAGGGAGCTCCCATAAGACTGTCAGATGATTTCTCAACAGAATCTCTGCAGGCCACAAGGTAATGGAAAGAACTATTCAAAGTGGCCTGGCCAGTGTGGCTCGGTTAGGTGTCATCCCATGCACCAAGAGGTTGCTGGTTCAAATCCCAGTCAGGGTTGCAGGCTCAATCCCCAATAGGGGTGTGTAGGAGGCAGCCAAAACATAGTTTTCTCTCATCAATGTTTCTCTCTCTCCCTCCCTCTCCTTTCTAAAAAAAACAATTTAAAAAACATATTTTAAAAAAATCATTTCCTCTCACCCACCTCAAGATTTGCTATGTCCCTTTATTTAAAAAGAAGAGAAAAAAAAAGAAATACTCAAAGTGATGAAAAGCAAGGATGCAGTACCACGATTACTCTATCCAGCAAAGTTATCATTCAGGACAGATAAAGAGCTTCCCAGACAATAAAAAGCTAAAGGAGCTCATCACCACCAAACCAGTATTATAAGAAATGTTAAAGGGTCTCCTTTCAAAAGAAGGCCTGGCCGATTTGGCTCAGCAGTTGGAGCGTCAGCCTGCAGACCAGAGAGTCCTGGGTTTGGTTCCCGCTAGGGTCAGGCACAAAAAAAAAAAAAGAAGAAGAAGAGGCATGCACTCGCCCTCCCAGGAGCAAGCCCATTCCTTTCCCTTCCCTCTCTTCTTCCCTCAAAGATGTGCATCTCCTGCCCTGGCCGGTTTGGCTCAGTGGTTAGAGTGTCGGCCTGCGGTCCAGAGAGACCAGGGTTCGGTTCCCGCTAAGGGTATGTACCTAGGTTGCAGTTTGTCCCTGACCCTGGTTGGGTTGTGCGGGTGGCAACCCCTTGATGTGTCCCTTTCACATTGATGTTTTTCTCTCTTTCTCTCCCTCCCACTCTATCTGAACAAAAAATGGAAAAATGTCCTTGGATGAGGATAAAAAAAAAAAAAAAGAAGAAAGACGTGCATGTCCTATACTCTAAGGGACCCCACAAGACTTGCAACCAGGAGAGCAAGGGGCAGCAGCAACTCACACCCAGGCTAACTCCCTGAACCTGTCTCCAAGTCCTGCTTTTCTCTGACTTCTCTGTGAGCCAAGGCAGCCCCATCTAAGCTCTCTCCTATTGCTTCTTCGAAGTATCCTAAGCCATTCCTTGTTTCACTGTCCCCAGCTTTCTTTTTTTTTTTTTTTTTTTAATGTTTTTATTGATTTTTAGAGAGAGAGAGAGGAAGGGAGAGAGAGATAGAAACATCAATGTGAAATAGAAACATCGATCAGCTGCCTCCTGCACACACCCCCTAGTGGGAACCAAGCCCACAACCTGGGCATGTGCCCTGACAGGGAATCAAACCAGAACCTATCAGTCCATGGGATGACGCTCAATCCACTTAGCCACACTGGCCGGGTTCCCCAGCTTTAATAAATGTGCTCTCAAGATAAAATACAAAAACATAAAAAATATGAATAATAAAATGGCAAAAAAAATACATACATCTATCAACAATTACCTCAAATGCAAATGGCCTAAATGCACCAATCAAAACACACAGGGTAAGCCCTGGCCAATTTTGCCCAGTGGTTAGAGAGTCACCCCACAGACTGAAGGGTCGTGGGTTTGATTCCCAGTCAAGGGCACATTCCTGTGTTGCATGTTTAATTTATGGCTCCAGTCAGCTGCCAATCAGTGGGTCTCTCTCATTTTTTTATTTTTCTCTCTCCCTCCTTCCATTCCACCCTATCTAAAAACAACAACAAAGGAAAAATATCCTCAGTTGAGGATTAAGAACAGCAGCAGCAAAAATAAAAATTAAAAGGCATATGCCCTAGCTGGTTTTGCTCAGCGGTTAGAGCGTTGGCCTGTGGTCCAGAGAGACCCGGGTTCGGTTCCTGCTAAGGGCGCGTACCTTGGTTGCAGTTTGTCCCTGGCCCTGGTTGGTCATGCAGGTGGCAGCCACTCAATGTGTCTCTTTCACATTGATGTTTCTCTCTCTCTCTCTCTCCCTCCCCCTCCCACTCTATCGAAACAAAATATGGAAAAATGTCCTCAGGTGAGGATAAAAAAAAAATTAAAAGGCATAGGGTGACTGAATGAACAACAAAACAAGACCCTTACATATGCTATTTATAAGAGACTCACTTCAGATCACAACACACACACAGACTGAAAGTAAAGGGATAGAAAAAGATATTTCATGAAAATAGAAACAAACGAAAAAGCTGGAGTAGCAATACTTAAACCAGTCAAAATAGACTTTAAAACAAAAGCTATAATAAGAGACAAGGACACAGCAACTCCACTTCTGGGTATTTATCCAAAGAAACCCAAAACATTAAATCAAAAGCTTGTTTACAATATGTTTTTGCAGCATTATTTAAAATAACCAAGATAAGGAAGCAACCTAAGTGTCCATCAATAGAGGATGGATAAAGAAGAAGTGATGTGACTTGGCCAGTGTGGCTTACTGGATTGAGCATTGTCCGTGCACTAAGAGGCCACCAGTTTGATTCCCAGTCAGGGCACACGCCTGGGTTTCAGGTCCCATCCCTGGTTGGGACATGTGCGAAAGGCAACCAATCAATGTTTTCTCTCTCTCAAATCAATAAATATGTCTTTAGGTGAGTATTAAAATAAGAAAGAAAATTCTGTCATACGATACAATACAGATGAACCTTGAAAACATTATGTTAAGTGAAATAAGCCAGTCACAAAAGGAAATATCCTGTATGATTCCACTTACATGAGGTACCTGGAGTTGACAGATTCATAAAGACAGAAAGTAGAATGGCAGTTGCCCAGTGGTTGGGGAAAGAAAATAGAGAGCTACTATTTAATGGGTACAGTTTCAGTTGGGGAAGACGAAAAGGTTCTGGAGATAGATGGTGGTGACTATTGTACAATATGAGTATTCTTAATGCCACTGAACTGGACCCTTAAAAATAGTTAAAATGGGCCCCGGCCGGTTTGGCTCAGCAGTTGGAGCATCAGCCTGTGGACCAGAGTCCCGGGTTTGGTTTCCGCTAGGAGCACATACCAAAAAAAAAAAGTTAAAATGATAAATGTGTTATTTTAACACACACGCGCGCACGGAGAGCGAGAACATAATAAACCCAGATGTAAACAACTGGAGAGTCTAGATGAAGGTATATGGAAGTTCTTTGTACAGTTTTTATAACTTCATTGTAAGTTTGAAATAGTTTTGAAAAATGAACTCCTGCTCCTTCCATAGCAGACCAGTCTGAGAAAATGAGATCTACTCTGCTTGCTCAGATCAAAACTCTTGGAGTCATCCTTGACTCTCACACACATTCCAATCCACATGTATATTCTATTGGATGTAACTTCAAAATATTTCTCCCCACCTCCGCTGCTCCCATACTAGTCTGAACACATCTCTGGTGGAGGAGTTCCTCACCGGTCTCCCTGCTTCAGCTCAGATTTGGCCCCCTTCAATCCATTTCAACACAACACCCAGAGGGACTAAGTGGAAACATAAGCCACATCATGTCACCCTTCAGCTCAGAACTCTGATGTCTTAGGGTGGGCTCCAAAAAGCCACAGGCTAGGTCCTTGCTATCTCATCTCCCACCCCTCTCCCCTCACACCCTCCGCATCGTCACACTGTCCTGCTGCCCCTTGACCGTGAGCTGGGCAAGCTTCCTGGGTACAGGGCTTCTGAACAGCTCACTGGGCTGGCTTTCCTTCAGGTCCGTCCAAATGTCACTTCCCGGGAGGCACCCCCACACCCGTTTCTCTCTCTCCCCATCACCCTTCTTTATTCTCCTTCAAGGCACTGATTTCTAAACTTCAGCCACGTAGCTCCTTGTTCATTGTTTTCTTCCTCCACAAGAACAAATGCTCCTGAGCGGGAAGACTTCAGTCCATCCGTTCCCCCAGCATCCAGCACAGTGACTGGCAGGTGGTAGGAGTCAGTTAATATTTACAGAAGAAGTAACTGGGTGTTGGAAAGTTCCCTTGGGAACATCTGCGTTAAACAAAAGGGCGCAGGGCGGGAGGAGAAGTCCAGGCTGGGGTCCAGACAGGGGCCAATGGGTCAAAGTGATGGACAGGACCTAATGCCTGACTGAGGGCTGCCACCTGAGGACACACGCGCCCGGGGTGCCCAGCCCTGCCCCTCTCGCTGGCTCCGTGGTGCTACAAGGCTCTTTCAGGCCACTCTTCCACTGCACCCCCCCACCCCATTTTACAGGAGGCGGCTGTCACCAGCGTGGTTCTACCTCACCCCCAAGCGCGCCCCACACCGGCGCTTGGGGGCCTGGCCGGTGGCCCTTCGCGTGAGGACAGTGGCTCCTCTCTGCCGTGCCTCCCCTCGGACTGGAAAACAGCCATACTTGGTCTGAAGGATCCCTCCCCCAGGAGCCGGGCCTTGGGGGGCAAGCTGGGGGTGGGGTCTGGAACCGGAGGGCCCTGGATGTTCTGCCAGCCCGCTGGAGAGGAGGGGACGGCGGGGTGAATCCCCTCGCTGGCTGACGGGGGCGGGGGTAGGGGGCACTCACCCACCACCTCCCCCGCCTGCCCCAAACTGGAGCCCTAGTTGCAGGAAGACTGGGTGTGGGGATCACCAGTAGCGCCCCCGCCTCCCAGCCGGTGGGTGGAGGCCAAATAAGGCCGGATTGGCCGGCCAGGCCCCGCCCCACGGGGCGCACATTCTTCTGCCTTGTAAGGCCCGGCACCGCGCCCCGCCCCGCCCCGCCCCGCCCCGCCCCGAGGGCGCGCACGCACCGGCTCTGCTCGTCCGCACACGGCTCCGCAGCAGCTGGACGCACGGAAAGAGCGCCTTCTCCGCACCAGGTAGGTGCCGACCAGGTGGTCTAGAGCAGGCGGTGTCACGGCCCCAAGGACGGGGATGCTGGAGAGTCTGGGCAGGGGCAGCCGTCGTCCTGAGGTTGGGGCTGCGATGTGGCTCGGGTCCGACAGGGATTCAGACGGGGTCGGGCAGAAGGGAGACGGTTTTGGGCTCTGGGAACCAGTGGTCCTTTGGTAAAGGAAGACTGCCGGAGCCCCGTACCTTTGCTGTGGAGTTCGAGTCCCCAAGCCCAGACCTCCGAGGTGCCCGGGAGTAGGGGGTTGTGGTCACAGGTATCCCCTGCCCCAGTAGACCCATGTGTGTCTCAGACAGGGAACTGAGCCCTGTCAGGCTCTTTGAGACCCCTGCAGAGCATCCTTGTCCTGCGGCAGGAGAGAGGGATGGATGGAGTAACCCCACCCCATCCGCAGCAAAGCTGTGTGCCATGAACCTGGGCTCCAGGCTCCCTTTTGTGCCTGTAAGGTGGGGAAGGTCTGCCAGGGGCCCTATGGGCTCACCCCTGGAAGGGGGTACGACAACAACTCAGCCCTGGGGCTGGACAAGAGACTCTGAACCTGCCCTTCCCTAGCCCTCTAGCTACTCTGGCTGCTCTCAAGTCAGATAACACAACCTCAGATGAGATGAGCTCACAAGCACAGTACACAGGGACCACAAGGGAATGGGGGACATAGGCCTTCTCTTTGCTGTTATAGGGGGAGGTGGCACCTAGTTACAGCCCAGCCAAGTACCAACTGTATCTGATCCCTGGTGTCCAGGACCCCCAGTAGGAGCAGGTGATGGCTCCAGGGCTAAGGGCGCAGCCTGTCTGTGACCCCAGTCCTTCCACCAAGCCAAGAAACTGCCTCTGGTCACACAGAGTCCTCAGCTGCCACAGGCCCACCACGAGCCTCTTAGGATATATAGTTCCTTCTGTGTTCAGGCCTGGAGAGGACCAACGGCCATTTGCCACCCACTGACCTGAGCCTAGCCCTGGGGCCCTGGCTTCCAATTGGACCCTACCCCTCTCATGGGCACTTCACCTTCCCGACCCTGCATCTCAAGATTGCTAGGATGGACAAACTGTAAAGTTCTGTGCTCTCAGCCAGAAAGGTATCAGAGCAGTGGGTGAGGTCCTGGCCATTCCTGCCTCTGGCCGTGGCTTCCTCGTCCTGGCCATGTCTGCCCTAGAGCTTTGCTGACATGAGTGCTGATGACCATCACAGCCTCTGCTGGGCACAGGGGAGTGCTCCTTGGCTGCCTTCTGTGGGTGCCAAAGTTCCCAGAGAACACTGGGCTCAGGGAAGGATTGGGCCCCTAAAAGCATTAAAGCACTGGAGAGGATGGCACTCCCTGCTGACAGCACCATCCCACTCATGGGTGAGAAGGGCTTTTGTCTACCTGCCCGGGGCCATGTGAGGGCCCAATGTGTCAGCCGAGTGGGACACAGCAGCCCGTGTCTCAGGACTATAGGTAGCTGTGGCCCTGGGGAAGAACTGGGGCTGGCCAAGGTCCCAGCTCAGGCTTCAAGATCTCAAACGCCAAACCTTGAGAATAACTTGAACGTGATCATGGGACGAAGCCTGGAGACAGCTCAAGGAGTACTCATAACCACACAATTTGGGGTTAAAATAAAAGAGAGAAGGCTTTCTGGAAGCCCTGGACCAAGGGGCTCAGCACAGAGGAATAGAGGGGGTAGCAGCCTGGGGCCTTGGCCAGACCGAAAACTGCCCCAGCCGAGGGGCACACAACACTCAGTCTTCAGGGGCAATCCCCCCCCATTAGCCATGACAAGGTTCAAGGAAAAGGCCCCTTGCTGGGCCTCAGTTTCCCCATCTGTACAGTGGGGGCAGTAGACTAGCCATGGTTAGTTGTGGGCTTTGGTATACATCAGGATTGATGGCAGCCTGATTGATTGTGAGGGAGAGAACTTTACATGCTGATTGTCAAAGCAGAGGTGGGGAACTGTTCCCCAAAGGGTGTATCAACAGCTGAGCTGGAGAAGGAAGCACATCCCAAGGGGCAAGACCAAGAAGGAAAGCCTGGGGGTGTCTAGGGTATAGCTAAAGGTCCACTGGGCAGGATCACAGATGGCAGGGGGGACACAGTGAGGGGTCCCATGGTCATCCAGAGAAAAGGGCTTGAATGCCTGGCTGAGGGGCCCAGACTTGCTCTGGGCAGTGGCAAGAACTTTGAGGGCTTCAAGGTGGTGCCAGGTGCAGGTCTCGGTCTGTATGGATGGGAGAGACTGGCTAGAGGCTAAAAGACCAGGTCTAAACAAGGGTGACAAGAAGCTGGGGTTCTCAGCCTGGGGGAGCCTCTCACCCCTATAAACACTGAGGAGTGAGAACAAGGAATAGGGCCCAAATCAGGTCTGTCACCCACCTAGGGGTTGGTCAAGTGTGGGCAGCTGTGGGGAGGGAAAACCGCCTGGCAGAACCTCCAGAGCAAGGAGCACAGAGGAATGGGGAGGGGAGGGAGGAGGAGAGAGGAGGAGGAATGTCAGGAATGCAGGGCTGCAGATGTGACTCCTTCCTGCTGGGGGTGGCAGGGAGCCCCACCTTGTCACTTGGAGAGAGATGGACAGTATGTAAATGCTATTAAGGATTAAAGGAGATAAGCACAGAAATTATTGGCACTACGCATATTAACCAAACAGTCACAGCGAAAATAGCTTACTCCATGCCTGGCACCATTCCAGGGCCTTCTCAAGCACTAAGTCAATTAATCACTCTGCTGGGCCCTCTTCATGTCCCCATTCCCTGATGGGGAAACTCACTCAGAGAGGCAGAGGGGTTCTTTAAGGGCCTTGCATGTCTGCTTTGGGATGAGCTGAGTGGCAGGAGCCCCAGGCCTGTGGGAGACCTTGAATGCCAGGCACAGGCACAGGCACTGACAGCAGGTCTGGATAGGCAGGATTCCCTGGCCCAGGGTCACAGGCTCTCCCCCCACATGCACTTCCTGCAGGTAAGCTCTACCCACCTGAAGCCAAGATGTCCAGTAAACGGGCCAAGGCCAAGACCACCAAGAAGCGGCCACAGCGCGCCACGTCCAATGTCTTTGCAATGTTTGACCAGTCCCAGATCCAGGAGTTTAAGGAGGCCTTCAACATGATCGACCAGAATCGAGATGGCTTCATTGACAAGGAGGACTTGCATGACATGCTGGCCTCCCTGGGTGAGCAGGGACAGGGGTGGGCAGGGTCTAAGTGGGCCCAAGAAGGGCTGCAACTGGAGTAGGCTTCCAGTGCAGTGACATGTGGTACCCACCCTGGAGAGGAGGTGCCATTACTTTCTCCATTTAACAGATAGGGAAACTGAGGCACAGCAGTTCGGCACTGAATATGAACCCAGACAGGCAATGATCACTCCAGGGTAGAACTGCCTTTGGCAGATGTGTGGATTGGGCTGCCCAGTACCATTTCATTTAAAGAAAGGAGTCAGCAACTAAAAGAATATCTGAGCCCTGGCCAGTATTGCTCAGCAGTTAGAGCGTCAGCCTGCGGTCCAGAGAGACCCAGGTTCAGTTCCTGCTAAGGGCACATACCTCAGTTGCAGTTTGGCCCTGGCCGTGGTGGGGTCATGCAGGTGGCAACCACTCTATGTGTCCCCTTCATGTTGATGTCTGTCTGTCTGTCTCTCTCTCTCTCTCTCTCTCTCTCCCCCTCCCTCTCTCCCTCCCTCCCTCCCACTCTATCTGAACAAAAAGTGGAAAAATGTCCTCAGGTGAGGATAAAAAAAAAAAGAGAATATTGCCCTAAGATTAAAAAACCAGAGCAGCAAATAAAATAACAAGAAGCTCTACAGGTACTAAATCTTAAATCTTTGCAATCTTCAATCTCAAAGCAATTCTACTAGGTAGATGTGACTATCATTCCCACTTTACAAATGAGGAAACAAGCTCAGAGAAGTTAAGTAATTTGCCCACAGTCACACAGCTACTAAGTGGTAGAGCTGGGATTTGAACCCAACAGTTGATTAGAGTCCATTATGTGCATTTCATTATGTGCATTTTACACCTATTGCTTTCGTCTTCATAATTCTCCTAAGAGGCAGGGGAAACGCACAGAGCCTGTGTGACACCAAACCTCACTATTTTAACCACTTTTGAAACTGCCTGGAATTGGGAACTGGTTGCCTGGGTTTGAATGCCGGCTCCACACTGTTTGCCGTGTGACCAAAGTCACCTCACCTCTGTGCCTCAGGTTCCACACCCGTGAAGTGAGTATAAGAATACTGACCTCACAGGTGGTGCCTAGTTAAATGCAACAGGGCTGGTGCAGCACCAGACACACAGCAAGCAGTCAGCAGACGGTGGCTCTTACATGTTCGCGAGTACCCCCAATCTCAGATATCTAGCCCAGAGGAGGAGCCTCATCTAGACCCCCAGGAGAACCCCAGGGAAGGAGCAGTCAGATAGCTGGCTGCCCAGCAAGATGCTTGCCAGTCTACAAAACTTCCTATCACCTCTGTGTGTAGGACTCACAGTGGGCCATGAGGGAGGGTCAGGGAGGTAGGAGGGGAGGGGCGGGGACAACAGGCACAAATGCCCCACTCGCCACAGGGAAGAACCCCACAGACGAGTACCTGGAGGGCATGATGAGCGAGGCTCCTGGGCCCATCAACTTCACCATGTTCCTGACCATGTTTGGGGAGAAGCTGAACGGCACGGACCCGGAGGATGTGATCCGCAACGCCTTTGCCTGCTTCGATGAAGAGGCCTCAGGTGGGGAGCCTCCTGGAGGCCTGGACAGGGCTGGAGCTGAGCACCTCACCTAAAGCAGCCCCATGTATGCAAATGGGGCCGGGTCAGGCCCCTGCGCCCACAGGCCAGAACAGAAATCACCCATCTGCTGGTGTCGGCACCAGAACTATAAAAGACACACTGTACTCTCTCTCCCAATGCTCAACCCAAACAGTCCACATCCACCAAGCTTTCACTTCCTAGTTCACCTGCTGGCCCAACACACTCGGTCTCTGCTTTAGATTTTTCCAGAAACCAAACCATTTCAGGCCCTCTGGCCGAGGTACAGAAACCAGCTCCATCCTCAAATCTTCAGAACTTCCTGTCCCACAGCTAGTTTTTCCCAAGGCCAGGCCAGCGTGAGGCTGGCGGTAGTTTCAGTAGTGTCTTAGGGACTACAGCCCCTCCACAGACCTACGTGTGCTCAGAACATTTTCCTGACTACCTTCACAGGTTTGTTTTCATCCCCATTTTCCAGTTCAAACAGGCACAGAGAGGGTAAATAACTTGCCCAAAGTCACACAGCTAGGAAGAAGGGGAATCGGCATTCAAATCTGGGCAGTAGAACTCTGGGACTCACACTCTTAAAGCAGGATATACCCAACCCCCACACTCAGCCCCAAGTTCCCCACAGAAACACCATGCATACAGCCCCACTGTGGAACTCCCCCTTCTGGGGCCCTGGTGAGCTCAAACTGACCAAAGGCTAGGGCTGTGTCACTTCCTGCGCCGCCGCCCCCCCTCCCCCCTGCTACAAGGTGTACAATGATGGGGGGGGGGTAGGGGATGTTGATTGTGTCCCAGCCTGAGTCCCTGTGTCTCCTGGACCTTAACCCCACCCCCAGGTTTTATCCATGAGGACCACCTTCGGGAGCTGCTCACCACCATGGGTGACCGCTTCACAGATGAGGAAGTGGACGAAATGTACCGCGAGGCACCCATTGACAAGAAAGGCAACTTCAACTACGTGGAGTTCACCCGCATCCTCAAACATGGTGCCAAAGACAAAGACGACTAGGCCCCCCGGGCTCCCCATGCCCTGGCCCCTGTCCCAGTCACCTGCTCCCCACACACACAGTCTGCACCTGCTCCACTCCCACTGACCCTCTCGGGGGAGCCGCTCTCTGAGGGGTTAGGGGCCCAGCTCCCAGTGGACGAACAGGCTGAGAGAGAGCAGAGCCAGGCAAGGGTCACAGCCACTGTGAGGCAGGTGTGCCCACTCTGACCCTCCAAGAAAGGGTCATCTAGGGAGCTGGGCCAGAGGGCTGGACCTAAAGGAACCAAGGGAAGGCCCCACAGTAGAGCCCAGGCTTAGCTGTTGTGGGCCCATTCCTGGGCTGTCCCCACCGGAAGGGCCCTGTGCCCTGCTCTGGGACACCGCTTCCCGTGCACCCATGCAGGGCTTTCATGCCCTTCCCAGCCACTGCCACAAACTCACAAACCTCACCACGGTCCCTTCTCAGAGGACAGGATGACACAGCCCTCCCCTCCACCCTGCCTCAGAACAAACCCCCCAACCCCCGGGGTGCTCCAGAAGGTGCTGTGGGGTGGAGCTCCTCCCAGGGGAGGTGGAGTCTAATAGAAGGCTGAGCACTGCTTTGGGTCCGTGTGTCTGGTCTGTGAAATAAGAGACCCCTAGGCTCCAAACAACCTCCCACCCTCTTCTCCCATCCCCAGTGGCTGCCTGGTCCTCCCCCACACTCCACCAAGGTTCAGCTGAGGCCAGATCAGCAGTGGGGAACAGACAGGTGCTGAGGGAAACAGCCCTCCTGGGAGGGAGGGCAGAGTGGGGAGGACCCACAGAAAACACCACAGCAAGTCCTAGTGGGGGATTCTGGGCCTCGGGGGTGGGGGCCAGGTGTCAAGGTCATATGGCCTTCAGGACAAGAGAGAGCCTGGATCTCCAGGGTCACCTCAGTGCTCCTAGAAAAGTGGGGAGGCTTTGGAAACAGGAGGGCGCATCCCAGCAGCTCAGGGATGGAGGTGGGAATCAACAGGTTTAACAGATCCCTGAGGTCAGCTCCACCAGGGGTGCTCTGTACTGTGTCCCAGGGCTAGAGCGTCATTTAGGCCACATGACCAGCAATGCAGCGGGCCACAGCTTTTTACATCCCACATGCAACAAGGCAAGGACTGGGATCCCTGTTCATGTGAATGATGGGACAACAGTGCCTGGGGCTTAAGAACAGTTGAAATATTGGCTGAATGAACAGTGAACCAAGAGGGGCAGGTACTGCCTGAGGTCACCTGTGTGTGTGTGGAGCACAGGGAGAGATGGACCCCACCTTCTGGACCCTCCATGGGGCTCAGGCCAGGGCTGGACACATCCCACCTGACCCCAGCAAAGATCAGGGAGAAGGTGAGGGCCTGGCTTGTTCCTACTGCCTTCCCTGAAGGTCAGAGGCAGTCGGCCACAGTGCACAGCAAAGATCCGAGATCAGTTCCAAGGGAGTGCTGAGCACTAAGGGGGCCAGCATGACCAGCAATGCAGCGGGCCACAGTTTTTTACATACCACATGCAACGAGGCAAGGACTGGCCCAACCTCCCACAGCCTCTGCCCTACCTCTGTGCCAGGCCCTGGTCAGAACTCCACGAAACTCCTCTTGCCTCCAAATTGAGTCACAAGTCCTTGATCTCAACTCCACATGGAGCACACTCCCAACAAATTCCAACTGGGCCCCAAGTACTGCCCTATGCTCAGTCCCAACCACACGCTTGACCCTGGCCCCAAAATGTGGACCCTGAGCAACCCTCAGCCAACCCAATGCTGCAGTTGGCCCTGAGGGAGTCCCAAAGCACTGGCCACACATGCCTGACACTAGGGTCACAGGTCATTCTGAGGAGCCACTGTGGCACCAAAGATCGTCCTGGAAGAAGTCAGGGACATGTGGTTATGGACACACTGGTGGAGAGACAAATTTTTCAATGGAATGGAGATACCAGAAACACACCCACACATTTGTTGAACTTGTTATATGACAACAATGATAGATCAGTGGGGAAAGAAGGAACTTACTAAATGGAGCTGACACCCACTGAAGGGGCTACAATGAATAATCTCCCAATACCAAGTACTGGTGAAAGTGAAAATGGGGAGCTCCTAGAATTCTCACACCCTACAGGAGGGTGTAAGCAGGTACGACCACTTTGAAAAACTTTGGCTAAGACTGGACGTCTACCCTAGGACTCAGCAATTTCTCTCCTAAGTGTGTACATACCCAACAGAAATGTGGACACATGCTCACCAAAAGGCAAGTACAAAAATGCTCACAGCAGAACCACTCTAAGCCCCATACTAGAAACAACCCAATCTGTTCAACAGAATGAACGAAGGAATGACAACGAACCGCAGGCTCCATGCATCAACATGGATAAATCTCACCAATAGGTCAAGCAGAAAACCCACATCAGGATTCTATCAGGAGACAAACCACGCTGGTTATTTCAACACAGATCATTTCATATAAATAATTGTTAACTAGGTACAAACTTTAAATTAAGTAGCAAAGGGTAAAAAGAGAACACAAGCCTTTTGAAATCATGAGTAGAGCCCTGGCTGGTTTGGCTCAGCAGTTAGAGTGTCGGCCTGCAGACCCAAGGGTCTTGGGTTAGATTCTTGGTCAAGGGCACGTACCTTGGTTGAAGGCTTGATCCCTGACCCTAGTCAGCGGTCATGCAGGAGGCATCCAATCAATGTGTCTCTTGCCCACGGATGTTTCTCTTTCCCTCCCTTCCTCCGACTCTCTAAAAATCAATGGAAAAACATCATCAAGTGAGGATTAACAACAACAACAAAAAAGAAAACATGGGTAGAATTACAAGACAGAACAGAAAATTTTAACAGAGCCACCCACACGAAAAAAGTGAAAATAAAACCAAAGCCCTGGCCAGTTTGACTCAGCGGTAGCACGTCGGCCCACGGACCAATGAGTCGCAGGTTTGATTCCAGCCAAGGGTATGTACCTTGGTTGTGGTTCGTCCCAGGCCCCGGTTGGGGTCATGCAGGCGGCAACCAGTCAATGTGTCCCTCTCACATTGATGTTTCTCTCCCTTTCCCTCCCTTTCCCTCTCTATCTGAAGATAAATAGAAAAATATCCTCGGATGAGGATTAAAGAAAAGAAAACCAAAAATTTGCATATCATATCTGATAAGAGACTTGTATATAAAGAACTCTCACAAACTCAATATAGAAAAATAACCCAATTTAAAAATGGGCAAAGGATATGAAAAGACATTTCTCCAAAGAAGACAGGCAAACAGCCAATAAGCAAACACACAGATGCTCAACATCGTTAGGCGTTGGGAAATGGATGGCAGGAATAATAACAGAAAGTAACAAGTGTTGGGGAGGATGTGGAAAGGTCAGAACCCTCACGCACTTAGAGGAAATACAAAATGGTGCAGCTGTTTTGGCAAACAGTCTGGCAATTTCTCAAAAGGTTAAACAGAGACATACCACATGACCCAGCAATTCCACTCCTAGGTATATACCCAAGAAAATAACAGCATACATCCACACAAAAAGTTGTACACACAAATGTTCATAGAAGCATTATTCAAAATAGCCAAAAAAAATAGAAACAACCAGATGCCCATCAACTGATGAATAGATAAGTAAATGTGGTAGATCCACACACGGACTATTATTTAGCAGCTACAAGAATGAATGAAGCCCTGGCCGGTTTGGCTCAGCGGTTAGAGCGTCGGCCTGCGGTCCTGAGAGACCCGGGTTTGGTTCCTGCTAAGGGCACGTACCTCGGTTGCAGTTTGTCCCCGGCCCTGGTCGGTTGTGCGGGTGGCAGCCACTCGATGTGTCCCTTTCACATCGATGTTTCTTTCTCTCTCTCTCTGTTCCTCTCTCTCCCTCCCACTCTACCTGAGCAAAAAATGGAAAAATGTCCTCAGGTGAGGATAAAAAAAAAAAAAAGCATGAATGAAGTACTGATTCATGCTACTACACAATACACCTCAAAACATCATGCCATGTGATAAAAGTCTGTAACAAAAGACCACATACAGGGTGGGGCAAAAGTAAGTTTATAGTTTGTATGGAAAATAATACAATAATTAACTACAATACAAGAATAAACTGTTTCAGACTTCTGGTCAAGATGGCGGCGTAGGTAAACGAGGTATCACATCCTCCCACAACCACATCAAAGTTACAACTAAACTACAGAACAACCTCATTCAAAACTGCCTGAAATCGAGCTAAATGGAAGTCCTACAACTACGGAATTAAAGCAGCCACATGGAGACTGGTAGGAGGGGCAGAGGTGCTAAGGGCTGGTCCCACACCCACGTGTGACGGAAAAAAATTAGAAGGATACCTCAACTGTGAAGGTCCTCCCCCAAAACTGAGGGGTCCTCATCCCACGCCAGGCGCCCAGCTCAGGGTTCCAGTCCAGGAAGAGAATCCCCATCACTTCTGGCTGGAAAAACCAGCGGGAACTGAGGCTCAGGGAGGCTGAGGCAGCCGGAGCCCCAGGCAGCTCCTTAAAGGGCCCACGCACGGACTTACTCGAACTCGCACCCTCCAGGCTCCAATGTGGGGGAGGCAGCTCGAGGGGCACCAGAGACATACAGGGAAGAACTGAGCTGTTTGGCATTGGAGCAAGGGCTGGAGAGGGGGCTTTCTCCTGGACAGACGTGCTGTCAGAGGCCTTTGTTCCTTTGGTGAACCCTTCCCTGGGGCAGCAGACGGCCGCCATATCTGGGACTCCAGCAACCTGGCTCACACTGGTAGCCCCGCCCTGGTGACTCCTTGAGGCCCCGCCCCACCCCACCCAACTTTCAGGCCCACCCAAGCTGTTGCCAGTTGCTTAACCATAGGATTGGCTTGTCTTGGATCCTGCTTCAGGTTTTCCTAAATTCTTTCAAACAAGCAGCATCTGGTCTCAGCTAGCCCCATACCTCTCATTAAGTAATACACAGAAACAAACACAGGGAGGCAGCCAAAATGAGGAGACAAAGAAATAGGTCCCAAATGAAAGAACAAAACAAAACTCCAGGAAAACAACTAAGCGAAATGGAGATAAGCAACCTAACAGATGCTAAGTTCAAAATACTGTTTATAAGGATGCTCAATGAACTTAGTGAAGGCCTCAAGAGCATAAAAAAGGACCTGTCAGAAATGAAGGAGGCACTAACTGAAATAAAGAATAATTTACACAGATTCAATAGTAGAGTAAGTAAAGCCAAGAAGCAAACCATCAATTTGGAATATAAGGAAACAAAAAACACCCAATCAGAACAGCAAAAAGAAAAAAGAATCCAAAAAAATGAGGATAGTGTAAGGAGCCTCTGGAACAACTTCAAGCGTGCCAACATTTGTATCTTGGTAGTGCCAGAAGGAGAAGAGAGAGAACAAGAAATCCAAAACCTATTTGCAACAAGAATGGCAGAAAACTTCCCTAACTTGGTGAAGGAAACAGACATACAAGTCCAGGAAGCACAGAGAGTCCCAAACAAGATGAACCCCAAGAGGCCCACACCAAGACACATCATCTTCAAAATGCAAAAGGTTCAAGACAAAGAGAGAATCTTAAAAGCAATTAGTTACCTACAAGGGAGTTCCCATAAGACTGTCAGCTGA